TCGTGCCACCCCTTCGGGACGCGGGATCGTGCACACACCGTTACGGGGACGTAGGATCGTGCACACCCCAGTTACTGAAGAACGCTACATTAATGGTGGTATATGGCCCCGAGGAAGGTTTTCTGGCAAAAAAAACTGAGAAATATTCTGTAGGAAATTGAAACCATAGGTTGTTTATTTCGCTTCGAAAACTTTTTTCTGGGGGCGAAATTTATATTTTTTTGATATAAGGGGCGAAATGTAGACATGGTGGAGGGGAAAGGGTATTACATGTGTTAATCATCAAAATGTATCACGTGGTGTACCGTTTTTGCGTGTGTGTTTTGTGGGTGTGTGTGTGTGTGATCACCCTAATTACTCAGTGGTGTTTTGTATATAAAAAAAATGATCGGGTATTTCTTTTTTAAAATATAAGTCTACATTCTTCACTGTTGTAATGAATGTTTTCATGCATTCGTATCACTGTTAACATAAACGAATGAAAAGGGGAAAAGAATGTTTACAAGTGTGGATAAGGGAAAAAACAGTGCTTGTCATGTTAACTTGAAGGAGGGGAGGTGTCCTGATGCGTGACGGGGGGTTTTGGCCAGGAAAACTCAGGGTTTTGTCCTTCTTCGATTCAGTGTTATTACCTCCCCAGTAAACCCTCTCAGGTGTTCTCGGGGTGTTTTGCAGGTGTTTTATATTTTTTCAAAATTTAAAAGTGGTTTGACTCATCTCAAAAAATAAAAATTTCCCGCTATTTTCTGTACAACGACTACTACAATAACTACTACAATAAATACAATAACTTCTACTACAAACTACTACAAAAACTTAAAATAACTACTCTAAAACTCCCACAAAGACTGTCTGCTCCCATCTTGTTCCTCACCTCATACCCGACATAGACAAGGATGTCAGCCACAGCACCGTGTCTTCCTTTGCAGAGCACCCGAATTTCATGAAGGTCTTCCATTGAGACTGCAAAGGGTCCAGCGACATTGCAGACACTGCAAGGCCCAGGCAGCATTGCAACACTGCAAGGGTCCCGGGAGAATTGCAGCCCCTGCAAAGGCTCCCGGGAGACATTACAGACACTGCAAGGGTCCAGGCGAATTACAGACATGAAGGCCCAGGAACATTCGACACTGCAAGGGTCCAGGAGACATTACAGACATGCAAGGGGTCCGGCAGCATTACCGACACGCAAGGCTCCAGGGCAGACATTACACCCCACTGCAGGCTCCAGGCAGACATTTCAGCACTGCAAGGCCCAGGCAGACACAACCCCAAAAATTTCATGGGGTCCAAAAACAATATGAAGTTCAACGATGAAAATTTTAATTACTCAAATTTTGGGAAACACGAGGAATTAAAACTTCATCAAATACAAAAAAAAATTCTGGCCCAAAATAGTCAAAGACCTGGGAGTGATCATGCGGAGATCTCACCTTCAAGGGGACATTACAGGATGGTAAGAGAACTTCAAAATAGGGGGGGCCCAAACCCATGAGACCTCTTCAGGTCACTTGTTTTTTCTAGGGTGGAATATTGTGCCACTAACACACCTTTTTAAGGAGGTGAATTGTAACCTAAAAATTTAAAAAGGGAAACCCTTCCGGCGCGCATAACGGAGTAAAACCCTCAATTCGGGAGCGCGGAGTTCCTGAACCTGTACCCCGGAACGCAGGCGGAGAGATACATGATTATATAAACCCCGGAAAATCCCAGAGGGGGGCTTCCGACTTTCCCCGAAAAAACCTCACTACGAAAGCAAAAAAACTTGGGAGCGATGCAACATCCCCCCCAAAGAAAAACAGGGTGTCACACACGTTAAGGACCAACAATAAGTTCAGGCGCCCGAGACTTCAACTGCCCCAGCACAATAAGGGGGGTTACCCAAAAGACCCTGGGGTCTTCAAGCTGGGACTGGCAAGCACCTAAAATCGGTTCCCGATCACCGGGCTGTGGCTGTACGTTGGATTGCGTGCAGCCCGCTAAAGCCTGGTTGATCAGGCTTGATCCACCGGGGGCCTGGCACAGACCGGGCCGCGGGGGGCGTTTACCCCGGAACTCCTCCAGGTAAAAACCAGGGAAACCCCTGCTCTTAACTACCACTAACCCAATAAGGGGAAAAAACAATCGGAAACTGAACCCGGGAATAAGAGGGAAACTGTAAACCCTGTATATTTTTCCATTCAAATATTGTTCCTACGATATTTTCCAGTCACAATATTGTTCCAGTCACATATTGTTCCAGTCACATTATTGTTCCAGTCACGATATTTGTTCCAGCACGATATTGTTCCGTCACGATATTGTTCCATCACGATATTGTTCAGTCCAAATTTTCCGTCACGTATTGTTCCCGTCACAATTTGTTCCAGACAATATTGTTCCGTCACAAATTGTTTCAGTCACAATATTGTTCAAAGTACAATATTGTTCCAGTCACGTTATTTTCCAGTCACAATTTTGTTCCGTCAAATATTTTTCATAGATATTGCCCAGTCCAAATTTTTCCATCACATATTTTTCCCCGTCACAATTTGCCATCAAAATTATTGTTCCATTCAATATTGTTCCACACTATTGTTCCATCACAATATTGTCCAGTCACATATTTTCCGCACGTATTGTTCAGTCACAATATTGTCCAGTAAATTTTGCCCAGTCCAATTTTGTTCCAGTCCATATTGTTCCGGGTCACATATTTTTCCCGTCAAATATTTTCCAGTCACATATTTTTCCAGTCACAATATTGTTCCAGTCAAAAATTTTTTTCCCAGTCACATATTGTTCCAGCCCCAAACCGATTTTGTTCCAGACATATTGTTCCTTTTCCATTTTTTTTTTTCCGTCAAAATATGTTCCAGTCACTATTGTTCCAGTCCGATTTTTTCCCGGGACTTATTTTTCCCATCACATATTTTTCCCAGTACAATATTTTTTTCCGTCACATATTGTTCCAGTCCTTTTGTTCCAGTCACATATTGTTCCGTCACAATATTGCCTTTCAATATTGTTCCGTCAAAATTTTTCCCAGCACAAATTTTCCGGGCCAATTTTGTTCAGTCCAATATTTTTCCCAGTCACGATGTTCCAGTTCACAATTTGTTCCATCACAATATTTTTTCAGTCACAAATTGTTCCAGTCCTTTTTATTGTTCGCAAAATTTTCCCGTCACATATTTTCCCCGTCACAATATTTTCCAGTCACAATATTTTTCCCATTTCATATGTTCCAGTCACGATATTTTTTCCAGTCCATATTTTCGCAATATTGCCAGTCCCAATTTTTCCATCAAAATATTTTTCCAGTCAAAAATTTTGTTCCGTCACAATATTTTCCAGTCACAAAATTGTTTCCACACAAATTTTTCCAGCACAATAACAAAACTCAATTACTCATCACCACTTCACACTACTTCACACTATCTCATCCCCTCTCATCACTACTTCGCGTAACTTTAACCCACATCATAAACAATAATTTGTTAATATTAAATTTTAATCTTTACGCTTAAAAAGTGTTTTAACTTCTTTTTAACCCCAATACCCACTTTCTAAATTATTATTAAAATTTGGGGGAAATCTAAACCCTTTGGGGGGTCATCATTCCTTTAATGGGGGGTTCATCATTGGGGGAATCCCATACCGTTTTCTTTTTTATCAACATAACTTATCCCACACTCCCACCACCTTTTTATCCATATCCACCAATCACCAACCTCTTTTTCTATCCATTATCACCCCCTTTCACCACACCTCTTTTCTATACCATTCCACCATCACCACTCCTTCTTTCTATACCATCCACACTCACATACCTCTTTCTATATCAATCCCACCTGCCCCACACCTCTTTTCCCCTTAGGCAACCTATCCAAACCTCATCACACCTCTTTTTGGTAACCCAAAACCACTCATCACCATTTTGGTTTTGGAAACCCATAGTGAATCCCCACCCCGGTTTTAAAATAAAATTTAGTAGGATGAAAACCCTTTGGGGGTCAGGCAACCAGAAAATGGGCACCAAGCCAAACCTTTTTTTAGGCAACATTATTTCCACATGCAGCCAACCCGGGTTCAGGAACAGAGTGCCGGGGCATGCAGCCACCCTTGGTTCTAGGTGCCCCAGTGTGCCGGGCATTGAGCCACACCTTGGTTTGGGGACAAGTAGTCCAGGCATGCACCCAACCTTGGTTTAGGTGACCAGAAGTGCCGGCACTGCCCCACACCTCTGGTTCTGGGGCCCATTTTGTGCCAAGGTTCAGCCCCCTTTGGTTTGGGGACCAGTGTGCCGGGACTGCAAGGCAACCTTGGTTTAGTTGGGGTGTCCCAGCATTGGCACACCTTGGTTCTAGGCAACCAGTGTGCCAGGCCTGCACCCCATCCCTCTGGTTTAGGTGCCAGCGTGCGGTCACCACCCCTTTTTTACCCACCCTTCGAAACAGGGGTTTAGCCCTAGCTGGAGTCGTCCGGGGGGGTTTAATTCCGTGGGCGCCCCCTTTCCCCTGGCCCCAGACCAAGCCTTTAATATCTTTTTGTTTAGATGCCTCAGATGAAAGGGTTAATTTTTATTTAAGGGTCAGTAATAAATGAGATACCCAAATAATAGCCGCCTGGTGGAACGGGGTGCCGTTCGACCCCCTCCTCCAACTCTGCTCCCACTGTTGGTACTGGGTATTGTGAGGGTTTTTGGTGACGACTGGGGTACTTGGGGGTCTGGGTCACTTCTGGGTATTTACGGGGGACTTGTGGGTTGGGTCACTTTTTGGGGTTAAAGGTATGCGGCATTCCTGGGTTTGGGTTATGTCTTGTGATGTACTGCGGGCCCTGTTGGGTTTGGGAATGTACGGGGGGTATTGTGTGTCTGTGTTATGTCTGTGTGATGTACTGGGGGCATTGCTGTGTCTGTGTCACTGTCTGGGTCATATACTGCGGAACCTGTGGGTTTGGGTCCTTTTCTGGGTTGGTACAGTGGTACCCGTTGGTTTGGGTCACTGGCTGAGTGATTATGGGGCATTGTTGGTTGGGGCATGTTTTGGTTGGGCGAGGGTATTTTTTGAGCTTGGGGGCACTGTTTTGGGGACGTATGGGGCATTGTTGGGTTGGGTCACTTTTGCTTGGGTGTGTAACTGGTCACCCTCTGCAAGTATTAAGAAAAAACTTATTTTTTTGATATGAAACAGAACCAGATGTGATAAAATTCCTTTGGGTCATTCAAAGATTGGTGAAGGCTCGATCCCCCGTCCCAGTAATGTCAGGTGTTACTCTGTGCGGCTTCGATACAAAAAGTTCAGTTGAGTTAGTGATACACAAACAATTAGGACATCCCATAAAAAATAACTAAAAAGAAGAAATTGGATAACAAGACGAAAAAAGCTATCACAAAACCAAAAATTTATGGGTTATTTAGGTTTATCCGAGGAATGGTACCTCCGGTTTCTTGGGTTAAGAGCCTTTTTCCATCGTAAAAAAAATTAAAAAAATTTTTGCACAAAAAATTTAAAACTCCAGATCTTACCTGAGTTGGTACGCGGGGTACTGCGTTTTTCCCCTTGGTATTTCGTCTGTACGCGTTTGATACTTCGTTTGCGTTCGGTGATGTCTTTAGCTGGAATTTGTGATGTAGGACGTCTCATGAAGTAACGAGCTCTGGTAACGTACTGGATGTCCTTCATACCTGTAAATCCAACGCTGAGTTATGATACTGAGGGGTTCTGAAGTTTGTATGAACTGTAGATCTCCGTACTTACCTCGCTTGGTTTGGACTACAGGTGGGGGACAGAGGTGACAATCTGTGTTGATGACTGTAAAAAGGTATATTTTGTCTTGTGATCTGATGAGACTGTGGTAGGCAGGGCACGAGTCCCGTCTGCTACGTAGTGGGATAATTTGGGTGGTCGTGACGAGCGAGACTTTAGTCTCTGGCTCGCACGAGGACACAGATGGTTTGCCATAGAGGCTAGATGGTGGCTCAGGAGCTGGAGGAGCGTAGTTTGCTTCTGGATAGATGTTGTTGCTGTTTATAGTTGGGGTGGGTTTGGGCAGAGGTGCTGGAGCAGGGACAGCAGGTGCACCATATTTTGGTGATGGTGGTGGAGCACCATAGGCTGGTGATGGTGGTGGAGCACCATAGGCTGGTGATGGTGGTGGAGCACCATATTTTGGAGATGGTGGCTCTCCGTAACTAGATGGTGCTGGTGATGGTGTTGGGTATGAGATCTGTAAAGATAGAATCATCAGTGTAATATGCTGGCAGTAACAGTTGTATGCTGACAGAAATACAATTATACATAAATACAATTATACAGAAATACAATTATCATACATAGTGTAAAACTCTCCACCATGATAACCCAAAAAACTCAAAGTGACTTATTTCCATTGGGACCCTCGATAAAACCTACTTTTAAACCTGGATAAACCCTGCTTTAATACCCTATAAAACCTTAATTTAAAACAATCATAAAATCTCTAGTTTAAGTCCCTAATAAACCCTGGCTTAGGACTTTGACAAACTTAACTTAAACAACTTTGATCATGTGGAATTAACTTAATCTGGCGTAACAGGACGATATGCAGATTATATTATGAACTCTGTGCCACACCTGACTGAGATGTCATGTATCAGGTGTGTAATGCTGTGCCACACCTGACTGAGATGTCATGTATCAGGTGTGTAATGCTGTGCCACACCTGACTGAGATGTCATGTATCAGGTGTGTAATGCTGTGCCACACCTGACTGAGATGTCATGTATCAGGTGTGTAATGCTGTGCCACACCTGACTGAGATGTCATGTATCAGGTGTGTAATGCTGTGCCACACCTGGCTGAGATACCATCTATCAGGTGTGCAATGCTGTGCCACACAGGTGTGTAACCTGACAGGTATTGCCAACAAATATAAAAGACACTTGTTGATAAACAACTCAGGAAATTACGCATTGTTTGTCTACCGAGGTGACAAACATTGTTTGTCTACCGAGGTGACAAACATTGTTTGTCTACCGAGGTGACAAACATTAAGTCAGAGTGAAACACTCTAGTGAACAAGTGTTTAACAAGACCTCAGACACCCACCTGAGGTAAACAGGTGTTTAACAAGACCTCAGACACCCACCTGAGGTAAACAGGTGTTTAACAAGACCTCAGACACCCACCTGAGGTAAACAGGTGTTTAACAAGACCTCAGACACCCACCTGAGGTAAACAGGTGTTTAACCAAACCTCAGACACCCACCTGAGGTAAACAGGTATTTAACAAGACCTCAGACACCCACCTGAGGTAAACAGGTGTTTAACAACACCTCAGACACCCACCTGAGGCAAACAGGTGTTTAACAAGACCTCAGACACCCATCTGAGGTAAACAGGTGTTTAACAAGACCTCAGACACCCACCTGAGGCAAACAGGTGTTTAACAAGACCTCAGACACCCATCTGAGGTAAACAGGTGTTTAACAAGACCTCAGACACCCACCTGAGGTAAACAGGTGTTTAACAAGAC